CGGGGGATGGTGTCGGGGAGTCGGGTGGCGGGGCGGGGCGGGGCTGGGCGGTGTGAGGGAAGGGGGTGGGGCTGGGGCTGGGGATGAGTAGGGGCGGGGCTAAAGCGCTGGGGGCGGGGCTGGAGCGTCGCGGGGCGGGGGGGTGGAGCAGTGGGGGCGGGGCTGGCGCGCCGCGAGGCAGGGGGCGGGGCTGGAAGAGCAGTTGAGGGGGGTGAGGGTGAGAGTGAGTCTGGGCAGCCCAGGAGGGAGGGTTTTTTTCCAAGGGGGAGAGAGACAGGAGCCTTGTGGGGCTGGAGGAGACCCCTGTGGGGCTGGGCTGGGCTGGGCTGGGCTGGGGGGGGGTGACCCTTATGGGGCTGGAGGAGGGGCTGGGCTGGGGGAGACCCCTGTGGGGCGGGGCTAGGCTGGGGGGGTGACCCTTATGGGGCTGGGCTGGGGGAGACCCCTGTGGGGCTGGAGGGGGGGCCTGTTCTGGGGGTGATCTCTGGAGGCGGTGAGCCCCTGTGGGGGGAGGGGCTAAGGGAATCATGGGGGGATGGGGAGACCCTGGTGATGCTGGTGGCCTGGCTGGGTCCCCCCCTGACTGCTCTGTGCCCCCCCAACCCCCGCACCCCTAGGGTCTGTCTGGAGCCAGAGCCTGGAGTGCCCCCCGGCGGCTGTTGCCCTGGCGTGAGGGACCCAGCACCTTCCCCTCCACCTCTGGCAGGTGAGTGCCGATGCCTGTCCCATAGCAGGGTCCCCCCCTCCCTGGGGATTGCCCCACTGGTTGACATCCCCAGGGGGGCTGGAGTGGCCTCTACACCAGTTCCTGCCCCCATGGCTGGGCCAAGGGAGCCAAGGGTGCGGGGTGGCCAATGGACATGGCAGAGGGACATTGCTGGCACATGATGGCATATATCACATTGGTAGATGTGCAGGTGAACGAGCCCCTGATGGTATGGCTGATGTGATTAGGTCCTATGATGATGTCACTTGAATAGATATGTGGACAGAGTTGGCATCGGCCTTTGTTACAAGGATAGGTTCCTGGGGTGACTCCAACCTGCCCTGATTGATGAGACATGTGGGGGTCCAATATGCTCAGGACTCCTGGGTTCTCTCCCCATCTCTGGGAGAGGGGGGTGGGGGCTGGTGGGTTAGAGCACGGGGGGTTGGGAGCCAGGACTCCTGGGTTCTCTCCCCGGCTCTGGGAAGGGAGTGGGGGGCTAGTTGTTAGAATGGGGGTGGTGGTTGGGAAGCCAGGACTCCTGGGTTCTATCCTGGCTGTGTGTGTGTATGTGTGTCAGAGTCCCTCTACTGCTCTCAGCTGGGGAGATTCCTGCTAGTGAGTGTGTGGTGCTATATTATGTGTGTCAGAGCCCCTCTACTGCTCTCAGCTGGGGGGATTCCTGGCGGTGTGTGGGTCTGTGGCTGTCTTTGTGTGTCAGAGCCTCTCTATTGCTCACAATCAAGGGGGACTCCCCAGGCGACAAGTTCCCAGTCCCTTCGGCTGCGCTCTTCCCCCGGCAAGCGCGCGGCCCCCCCATGGCGGAGAAGGGCCCCTGCCCCGGGCTGGACGCCTCCCTGCGCAGCGAGGACCTGCTCAGCGACATGGAGCCGCTGCCCCTCTCCGCCCCGGCCACGCCGGCCCAGCCCTTCGGCTCCGAGGTGACGGCCCAACTCTACACCTCCCTGCGCCGGAGCCGTCAGGCCGAGCTGGACGCCTGCTCCCAGCTGCAGCCGCCCGACCTGGACGCCCTGGCCGAGGAGCTGAACCGCACGCTTTCAGTCGGGGTGGAGGCTAGCGCCCGCAGAAAGGTGAGGAGGGGGGATGTGGGGCGGGGCGGTGGGGCAGGCCGTGGGGCCGGGCGGCATTGACGGCTGTGTCTGGCTCCTCCAGCAGGGCGGCGAGTCGCGGCATGTGGCCGAGATGGAGACCGTGAGGTCGCGCCTGCGGACCATGCTGCAGGATTCCCGTGAACTGCCCTCTGGTGAGTGGGGTGGGGGGCACTCTCCCCTGGCAGTCAGGGCTGGAGTGGGAACAGCCGCCCCGCCCCAGAGGTGGCCGCATTTCAGCGTCGGGTGAGGGGTCCCTGTGTAACCAGCCGCCCAACCCCAATATGGCTGCATCTCCGCGCCGGGTGAGGGGTCCCTGTGTAACAAGCTGCCCCACCCCAGAGGTGGCTGCATCTCAGCGTCGGGCGAGGGGTCCCTCTATAAATAGCCGCTCTAGCTGTGGGTGCATTTCAGTGTTGGCCCTATATAACCAGCCGCCCTGTCCCAGAGGTGGCCGCATCTCAGTGCCGGGCGAGGGATCTCTGCACATGCCGTAGGTTAGGGGTGGCTTATGGTTACAAGACTTGCTAGGTTACCTTGGGCCATCACCGGTTCCCTTTCGCTCCCCCCCCACTCTTTTTCCTCTCTCCTTGCAAAGTGCAGCAGGGCCTGCAGTGGGCACTGTGGCAGTGCCCAGCCATGCCAGGGAGCAGAGCACAGCACAGAGCTGCTGAGCCTGGGTCAGCTCAGCCCCCCGTGAAGCTGCCTGGCCCCTGTGTGAGGGAAAAGTGCTGCCCTGCCTGGGCCCTTGGCTAGACCACGAGCCCCCACCCCCCTCCCAGAGCTGGGGAGAGAACCCAGGAGTCCTGGCTCCCAGCCCACCCCCTTGCTCTAACCCACCAGCCCACACTCCCCTCCCAGAGCCAGGGGGTGGTTGTGTCGCAAGGGGAGCAGCACGCACTGCCCATGGGGTGGGACACGGGGGCTCCGGATCTGGAGGACGGTGTTGCTGAGCAGCCGGCCCCTTTCTCCAGCAGGGGGCGCCCTCGGCTTGGGCTTGGCAGAGCGGAAGGACGACGACTCCTTTGAGAGCGACAGTACCACTGCCCTCCTCGCGTGAGTGCTGGCAGGGGGTGGGGGGAAGCAGGTTAAAGTCAGACTGTTATTGGGCTGCCCCGCCCCAGAGGTGGCTGCAACTCAGCACTGGGCGAGGGGTCCCTGAGTAACCAGCCGCCCCGCCCCGCCCCAGAGGTGGCTGCATCTCAGCGCTGGGCGAGGGGTCCCTGTGTCACCAGCTGCCCCACCCCAGAGGCGGCTGTGTCTCGGCGTCGGCACCCACAGACGCCCTGGAGAGAGCTGGGGCGGGGGCTGTGGATGCTGAGCTGTGCTGGCCTGTCCGGGAGCCCCCTAACTCCCTGCCCTCTTTCAGCGCCAGGCCCCTGCAGGAGCTGTCCCCTCCCGGCTCAGTGTGCGGCCTGGAGGAGCTGTTTCCCCGCTACGCCAGCCTGCGCCTGGGCACCCCCCCTGAGCCCGCGCCTGCCACGGAGCCCCAGCTGCTGAAGGAGGCGCTGGCCAAGGAGCGGGCCCGCCGGAAGGTGAGGAGCTGGGCGCTGGGTTGGTCTTCCAGGATCCTTTGTCCCCAGCTCTCACCATGAATGTATTTCCAGGGAGCGGTGTACCCAGTACATGTGTGTACCAGCGGTGTATACACGTGGAGGGGAGGGTGTACAGGGGTGTGTGTAGATGTGAACCTGGGGGACTGTGTGCCCTGTGTGTGCTGACCTGGTGGGTGTGGAGGGGTGTATACCTGGGGAGGGACGTACCCAGAGTGTATGTGTGTGTAAACACATGCCAGAGGGTTTGTGGGTGTGTACCTGGGCTGTGGGCATGTGTTTACACGTACTGGGGCTGGACAGACATGTGTACCCGGGGAGGGGTGTACCCAAGGTGTGGGTGTTTACATGTACCGGAGCTGGGTGGGCGGGTCTACCCAGTTAGGGGTGTACCTGGGGTGGAGGTGTGTGCTGGGTGGCCGGGTGTACCTGGGGAGGTGTGTAACCAGGCATTCTGTGTGTGTGTGTGTTTACATTACAGGGTGTACCTGGGGCAGGGGAGTGGGTTTATATGAACCAGTGCTGGGCAGGCGGGTGTACCTGGGGATGGGGGTACCCGGGGTGTGTGTGTGGGTGTTGACACGTACCGGGGCTGGGCAGGCGGGTGTACTCAGAGAGGGGTGTACCTGGGATGGTGTGTGTGTTTTATACGTACTGGGGCTGGGCGGGCGGGTGGGTGTGTCACGGACTCCCAGATCGTGCCCACTCTTGGCCCCATGCGGTCTGGGGGGGGATCCCCTTCCAGTGCGACAGCCCTTCTCGGGGGTCCACTCTCTCTCGGGGTTAGGACCCATGCACCTCTCAGAGCCTTAGCATGTCTGTCTCTGACGTGGGCCCCCTCAGGGAGTCCACTTGCTCTGGACCCCTGGGGCCTCCATCCCCCGAAGGGGTTGATGCAACCCTGTTCTCTAGACCGGAGTGACTCTTAGCCAGCGTAAAACAGGAGGGTTTATTGAGAGGTGAACACAGCACCGGAAACTCTGACCCTCAGGCCTGGCCTCCCTCAGCCCAGCCCATCCAAGTCTCCCTTGCATCCAGGTGGGCTCTGCCTGCTCCCCCTCTCCAGCCCAGAGCCCCCCTGCTTCCTAGCTGGGCATCTGCTATCACGGCCCCAAGCCCTGCCTCTGTCCATTGTCTTCTCTCCAGGTAAACAGGGTCGTAAACAGGGTCACTGGGTCTCCTCTCCCCTCTTCTGTCCTCTGGCCCCCTCTGGCTGGAACCGGCTGGTTAGGTCACGGGGTCCTCTCTTTACAGCCCATGGTCTTCCCACTGGCCAGAACCAGCTGCGACTCCTGCGCTGCGTTTCCGGGTCGTCAGGTCACCAGTTGCTGGGGTGTCCATTCTCCAGGGCATTGGCTGGGGTCCCAAGTTCCCTCTCCGGTCCTCTGTAACAACAAACTTCCTCTCCCCTCACTTCGTTAAACCAGTAACACCCAGGGACACTGAGTCCCACTCCCTCTGCACGAAAATCCTCCACTTCGTCACAGGGTGTACCTGGGGAGGTGTGTGTGTTTATACGTCCCGGGGCTGGGCGGGCGGGTGTATTCAGGGAGGGGTGTATGCGGGGTGGTGTGTGTGATTTTACATGTGCTGGGTGTACCTGGGTAGGGTGTAGCTAGGCTGTGTGCCTGCTGTGTGTGTGTGTGTGTGTGTACTTGGAGGTGCGTAGGGCTGGCTAAGGTGATTCTAACCCATCGTGGTGAGATGCAGGGCTAGATGGGCACATTGATTTGATCTGATCTGGGGTGGGGGTGGGGTGAGAGGGACCCCCAGCTGGGTGGACCCATTGCACTGTCCATGGGCGGGGGGCGTACTGGAGCTCAGGATCAGCACTCCTGGGTTCTCCCCCCAGCTCTGGGAGGGAAGTGGGGGTCGGTGGGTTAGAGCAGGGGGGCTGGGAGCCAGGACTCCTGGGTTCTCTCCCTGGCTCTGGGAGGGAAGTGGGGGTCGGTGGGTTAGAGCAGGGGGGGCTGGGAGCCAGGACTCCTGGGTTCTCCCCCCAGCTCTGGGAGGGCAGTGGGGGCTGGTGGGTTAGAGCAGGGGGAGCTGGGAGCCAGGACTTCTGGGTTCTCTCCCCGGCTCTGGGAGGGGAGTGGGGTTGATTGGTTAGACTGGGGGCGGGGCGGCGGCAGGCTGGGAGCCAGAACTCCTGGGTTCTCTCTCAGATCCCCCAGTGAGGGGGGAGGTGGAATCTGATGGTCCCTGCTGATGGGGCGAAGAAGGTACCGTTTGTCACCCACTGCCCCTGGATACTGGGTGCATGCTCAGGGCAGTCCGCTGCGCCTGGGTAGAAGCCGAGGGGAGCCAGCTCCTGGGGCAGGGAATGGGGCCCCTGCTGGCCTCTCAGGAACAGCCCTGCCTTACCCTGCCAGCCCGTCCGGGGGTGGGGAGGGGGGGTGCTTTGTGGCCCTCACTACCCTGAAGTGCTGTCTATGGGGAGCGCTCAGCTGTGTTTGGGCGCGTGTCATGTGCCCCGTACTGCTAGCCGCTTGGGGGATTCCCCGGGCACTGGTGGGTTTGGTGCGGTGGGTCTCGGCTGAAGCTGTGGCATGGCCCGCAGGGAGCTGGGGGGTGCCCCCGCCCCGGTACTGACCCCTGCTTTCCTTGCAGCACTGTGAGCGGCACGTGCAGGGCCTGCAGAGCCGGGCCCTGGAGCTGCAGCAGCAGCTGGCCGCAGCCATCTCCGCTGACATGAAGAAGGACAGTATGATCGAGCAGCTGGACAAGGTGAGCAGGGGCTGTGGGTTGGGAGTGAGGGGCACTGGCAGGGCTGGCGGGGGGGGGCAGGGCTGGGCTAGTAGGGGCTGCGGGTCGGGAGTGAGGGGCACTGGCAGAGCTGGGGGGGGCAGGTCCGGGCTGGCAGGGGCTGCGGGTCGGGAGTGAGGGGCACTGGCAGAGCTGGGGGGGGCAGGTCCGGGCT